TCGTACAGCTTCTATTGTTGGGCGCCCCAGCCACACAATAACGTCCACCTTTCCGTACTGGCCTCTTCTTTTCCGCCATAGACCACTTTCATAAATGGCTGCCGGATTAATATTAAATTTGCCCGAGTGGCCTCGCTTGAGATAATGTATTCTTTTGAATTTTGTACTGGAGAACGAGGCCACCCTGGCAAATTTATATGTAAACAAAAGAATTTTAATCCGGCAGCCATTTATGAAAGTGGTCTAATGAGAGTCAAACAACCTGACGTCACAGGTTAAGTTCACGTGACCTTTTGGCCGCGCGTTCGAGGGGACAAATTTTAAGCCAACTTAGCGCGTAGTTTAACGAAAACTATGTGTTTATAATTATTTTCAACGATTTTTAACTCTCGAACCGTTTGTTATATATATATCGAACTAGCAGAAAACGAAAAAATAAATTTCATGTCATATACACTTTAAGTATTTGTTATTAAGGTTATCACAGGTCACTGTGCGTAAACGTTATCCTATGAAGAGATGAGACCAAAAAATCGTCGCAATTTAAGGCGTCGTTACGCTTAACCCTCAATGAAAAATATATCGTTATTTGAAACAAAGAACAGGCAAAATAATAAAAAAAGAACTCTTCTTATGTATTTCTAATTAAGGTTGTCACAGGTCACTGTACGTGAAGAGGCAAGGGCCCGCTTCAATCAATCAAGACTCAGCATTCTATTTACCTCTCTTTAAATGCGTGAAGAAGAAGTAAATTCCTAGAAAAAAGAAAAACGATCTTAACTAAAATACATCAACATAGAATACGCGAAAATTAGATAAGAGGAAACTACAAGACAAAAACTTACCAAATGGTGAGAGAATATACGAGACACGTAAACATTCGACGTAGAAGGGTTTACATGACCAAAAAAACAAACAAACAAACAAACACACACTGCGAATATGGGCGTGAAACAAGATAAATAAAGGGCGGCGCAATTTGAATAGAGAGCGAAAATAACTGTGCAAGAATGATACGAGAAAAAATATATCCTCCTTCTTCTCCTTCTCCTTCTCTTTCTCCTTCTCCTTCTCCATCTTCTCTTCCTCCTTCTCCTCTTCCTCATTCTTCTCTTCCTCCTCCTCCTTCCCACTAATTCTCTCCCCCTCTGTCTGAAAACTTTCCTCCTCCTCTTCCTCTTAACAACCCTCCTTCTCCTCCTCCTTACAATCCTTCTCGTCCTCCTCCACCATCCTCTCCGCCTCCTCCTCCTCCTTAGAACTTTTCTCCTCTTCTTCGCAATTTCCCTTCTCCTCATTCCAAATTTACTGAGTACGTGAGCGGGGATTGAATTCTTTTGGTCCAGTTACCAGTCAAATGGGCCCTGTAACACATCTAAATAAGGGACTAGGACAGAACGAATCATGAATCAATTGTCTGGTTAAGATTGTCATTTGAAACATTAAAAAAGAGAGAAAAACTTAGACATGAGCTGTACGATCACTTCTCTTGAGTATAACAGCAGAGACAAAATAAACCATAATTTCAAAGATTAGGAATTTTGTCCAATCTCAGTAAAAAATTAATTGTATACATTTCATTTGTATTCTTCCTTCTCTCATTAATCAATTGTAACTTGGTTTTAAACACTGCGTTTCCCACGGCTAATTTTATAAAACAAGGAATAACGAAGACAAGGTTCGAATCATAAAACTCCTGCTTAAAAAAACTTACGTTGTAAGCTTTAAGTAATTACAGCCTCGTAATAATATGAGGGGGAGTAAAATTGGGGAAGGGGGAGTGTTGGAAGGGAAGAATGCCTACAAAACGAGAACTTTACCACAGGAGCCTGGATAGGGGCATT